TCATTCATCCGTTATCCGTTTTGAGTGTACCACATATCGAATTGTAGCCCTTAACAAGGATAATCCGAAACCACTTTGACCCGACCCAAATCGGAAGTGGACCCCACTCAAATAATTGCCCCAAAATGACCATTTAATGCAATTTTTAACACATTTTTCCAATAGAAACTGCATTAAAAGTTTTACAAAGTCGCAAAAACCAGAATCAAAATTGATAAAAATTTGATAAACAAAGTAAGAGATTAAGAGTGATTTGTGTTGACCAAGTGAATATGAAATGGGATAATAACAGGAGGACGGAGGGAGTAATATTTACTTCTTCCAAAACCAAGTATCTTGTGATCCGATGACATAATTGCTGATCTCTTAAGGAGGAGGTCGCATGTTCGAGTCTCATCCCATTCAAGACCGTTGGGATTAACTAGAGCAAGTATTATAATATTCAAAAAAATACCTCTTACAAAAAATACTATAAACCTGTAAATTGTAGACCACTTTCAATTGAGGAGCTTCTGTATGGGATATTTTTATAAAATTTTATGAGCTTGTTCTCCATGAGGTGTATGTTATGTCTACCATAGATTAAAAATTCAATAGAGAAGTCAGTTAAATAAATTATTGAAAAAACTGCATTTTGTATATATAAAAATTGCACAATTTTCAAAAATTTATTTAACTTCCAGATTGAATTTTAAGCTGAAATTTGGTAGACATAATCTACAGTTCATGGAGAACAAGTTCACAAAATTTCATCAAAAATTCGATATAGAAACACCTTAAATGAAAGAAGCCTAAAATTGTTACTTTTTTTAAGCCTACCTTAGCGGAATAAGCTAAAATCTCTAGATTATGATCACCCTTGGAGTTCCAATCAATTACAAAAAAATCAAAAAAGAAGATAAAAGCACCTCAATCCATTCTGTTAGCTTTTGGATTAAAACAACTTAAATTAAGCATAATTTGTCATTTGCAAACATTATTTGTAGCTTTTTTAAAGTCAAAAGCTTAAAAATACCTAAATTAAGCAATTGCAAACATAGCTCGGGACGAAGGGACTAACAAGTTAATAAAGAGCGCAAGTCACATGCATGTGAGGAATATATGAAGGCTTCAAACATAACTTTACGTGCACGGTCTCACATTCCCAAATTTGGTGTACACCATTAGAGCGAGACATTATTAAAATTGGGACCCTCAGGGATGAGGTGTTATGATTTCCATATAATTATGAGATGAAGAAAACTGTTTTTTTGATTATTGCATGTGGCCCATATGTCATATTTTCAGCAGAGTGCATAAAAATGTCAGAAAATGTAATGAAGGTAAACTTCATTCTGAGAAAAAGTACTGCTTAAAAGCGATCATGCAATTAATTATCATTATGTTTTAAGACGTAATCGCAAAGTTAAATTCAATGAATTGAATTATTGAAATGAATGACATAAATTTCATACTCGAACTTCTTTTCTCCATGGCGTTCACATTATTAATGCGGCGTACCGCGTACGTACAAATATTGAATAAAACTATGTCTATATATATACCAATATACAATAGAGTAAATTTCTTAAAGTGACAACTCCGGTACCCATTTAAAAAATGGGGTACTGTACTGAGTGGTTCATGTGGACAAAAGTATGATACCTTAAAGGTATCATAGAATCTCTCATTTCTTAAATAGATTAAAATAATGAACAAGTGCAAAGCTAGGACTATAAATTTATGTTGTAAAAATCAGATTGGAGAGTGACATGGACAAATTACCGGGTCAAGGGTCAACACAAAAGATTTAAAGATCGTTTGGTAACACATGTTTTTCGGCTTATGAGCTCTATCATTCAATTTTTCACCAACACGTAACTTTTATTTTCGCACGCTGAATTGTGAAATAATAAGAAAAGCAAGGTTGAAGTTACATTTCTGGCTGTATTGGCTGAAGTTAATATACATGACCATTTTTGCTATTTTTATACTACTCCCTCCGTCCCTTATAACTTTGCCAACTTTTCTTTTTTGATTGTCCCAAAAACTTTGTCACTTTCACTTTTAATCAATCAATTTGTGGCTCCTGTTATTTCTCTCTCCTCTGCACAAATTTCTACCACACAGTTTTTACTTTATTATTCTACGTGTCGGTCAAACATGACAAACCTTTAAGGGATGGAGGGAGTATTTATTTTTTTTCTTTATTTTATTAATAAAATATATCTTTAAAAATAATTTTTTCTTATATCAGCCAACACAGCCAATTCAGCCAGAACTTCATAAATTTTAGCAGAATCAGTCGAATCAACCGATTTTCGTGTTACCAAACGGGCTCTTAGTGTTACCAAATACTACATCCGTTCTTAAAATTTTGTCAAATTTTCTTTTAAATAAAGAATTTGTGGTTCTAATTAATCTTGTCTCCTTTGCACAAATCTCAACAACACAGTTTTTACTTTATTAGTTCCCGTGCTGGTCAAAGCTGACAAATTTTTAAGGGATATTCAAAGTAAATTCTAAAAGTTTTAAGGAATATTTAAAGCTTCTTTTCACTTTTTGTTCATGTTGTTATTACACGAATATTATACTTAAAGTCCCCAACTTCTGCTATTTAAAAGTGGTATTTTCAAAAATATTACTATTGAAGTAAAAGTTACTATATATAGAAGTATGATTATAAACTATGTAGTACAATATTATAATGTCATTGTCACTTACGTTTAAAAATTAAACATAAATTACTATGATTAAAGTTATTGTCATAATCACTAAACTAAAATCACCATTTCTGGAATACTATTTAGTTTTCTTTACCATAAATCAATTTTTTATTTTATAAAATAAATCACTTCTTATAAAACAAAGTTGCAGATAAAATCCACCGTATAATTGGTGTCTTTCGTACTCATATCGATGACTTCTTTTTTCTAAAACATATGGCCGAGAAATGATTCCATTTAACATACACGTTACTAATGAACACAGTAACATAAATAAAAGTAGTCATTAATAATTGGGCCCTTTTCAAGTTCAGGGCCGGTCCTGAGAAAATGGAGACCCTATGCAACAAATAAAAATTGGGCCCTTTTCAAATTCCAAGTAAGTAATTTGTATTAAAATACACGTTACTAATGAACACAGTAACATAAATAAAAGTAGTCATTAATAAAATACTTTCATTTAAAAAGACACATTTTTCTGTCTTATTTAGAAGCAAAGTCGTCTGCCAAATACAATTATTGAAATTCTCTTGTACAAGTATAAAAAATCTAGCTTAAAATTCAATTTACATTTTCGGTGAAATTATGAAATAATTATAATTTATAAACCTAAAGATATACTTAGTTGTTACGTAATAACATATTTACACCAATTTCTTAAATCTTAATTGAATAATTGTTAAAGACGCTTATTCTCAATGGCAAATAGGCACAACAATTAGGCAACAGTAGGATAACAACATGAACAAACTAATTTCACTAATTGCAATTCAAAGAATCAAAGAAATAAAAAAATTATAGAACTTACGGCCCAGGGAAGGTGGACTGTCGGACTGGTAGGGCGTCGTGCACCCGTTTGGACGGACGGTGCGCTCGTGAATTTAAAGGCTTGAGAAGGGACGTGGTTGCGCGGTGGCAGGCTGGAGGGCGTCGCTAGCTCGCTGTGAGGCGTCGGAGCTCCGCCGAGCTCGTCTTCTAGTCTTCCGCACTCTGCAATTCAGAGTTCATTCGTAGCTCTATTTTTCCTATTCGCAGGTCATAGCAAAAAATCTGGGCTAAGTAATACTACTACTATTTTTTTTTGGGCCTTCTAAAATATTGGCCCCTGTGCGATCGGTCTGGGTAAACTTGCCCTGGGCCGGCCCTGCTAATATACTCAAATGAGAGAGCGGTATTTCATCCTACCGTAGTAACTCATTTCGTCGAAATTTATAAAGTTCCGACCGAAGCGATTGGATTAGTTGATTCCGCTGATTTATGTAAAAATTATTCGAAGTATTTAAAATAGTTTTTATTAATAAAATGAAGAAAAGATTATATGAAAATCAGCTAGAATGTTGATCTACAGTAACTTTAATCAATACTGTCAGAAAAGTAACCTCAATCTTACCTTTTCTTATTATTACATGATTCAATATGTTTTTACTTGAATTGTTTTCTGTCACAGACCAGATCAGATCGGACTTGGATAGTTATAAAATACACAGATACGAGACATTTATTAGACCAGACCAGTTCAGAACAGACAAGACCATAGTAGATCAGATTAGACCAGCAAATTTCAATCAAATAAAAACATCCTCAACGCGCGAAATCAAAAGTTACATGTTTGATGAAAAGTTGGTTGATGATAAACCTGATAACCCGAAAAACAAACGACCAAACTCTTTATCTTTTTCGTAGTTCTTATTAAGCTCGACTCGTACCATAATTGGCAATAATTGTTTGATTGTAATACATTATCAATTAGATTCTAATTCCTTCTTATTTAATTCACACTTTTTAATTTAATAGAGCAACACAATTTTTTTTAAGAATTCCAACATTTCCTCGCGTCCCAATTTGATTAATATTAGGGAGATTTCCCAAAATAGAAGTAAATAGAATTTATAATTCCAAAATAGGACTACTATATTTTTATTTTCGAAATACGACTAACATGACAATATTTACTGCCATCTTGTAGGCGTGACTGTCAAATAATTGCAGTACAGTGCATTTAACATGACAATATTTATTATAATTAATGATAGTATTTTTCGATCATGACATCATTTTTCATACATGGCAGTAACGACTCCTATTTCGGGAAGAAAAACATAGTAGTCATATTTTGGAATTTCAAAACTCAATTACTCCTATTTAAGACAATTTCCCTTAATATTACTTCGTAATCAATTAATTAATTAATAGCTAAATATGAATATTTTCCCGTTTTTTTCCAAAATTAGCCCTACGCCCGTATATATAACATAGCCAGATCGCCAATCCCCAAGTTTCATCCCTCCTCGTTGAGCAGAACTTCAGAGAGTCAATATATACAGTAAATAAATACTACTATACGTAGTGTAGGGTCGAATAACGTTAAGTTTTGTACTGATTACGTATAGTAGTTGCTGCTAAGCTCCATAATGTTGCGTAAGACCTCATCTATCATATCTTTACGGCGACTATGCTACGCTTTTGGCGCGCTTTTATTGTTTCTCACACCCGGCGGCGAAGCAACCGTGAAGCTACCGGACGGCGTAGTTATACCGGCGGTCATCGGATTTGGGGACTCCATCATTGACCAGGGCATGAACAACTATATCCCCACCATCGCCAAATGCAACTTCCCGCCGTACGGGGATGACCTGCCCGGAGGAAATTCCACCGGACGCTTTAGCAACGGCAAAACCCCTATTGATCTTATAGGTAACAATGTGAATGCATATATGGCACCCGCACGTGTAGCTCAGTTGGTCTAGTGGTAGAAAATTGGACCAAGTAACCGAGGTTCAAAACTCGCAGCGGCCGTGTGGAGGTTACAGAACCTGAAATAAGGTTAGACCTCTGGTGCGCACGTGTATAAAGCCTACCGACGTTTTACTGACTGAGTCACCGTGATTAACTTCCCATCATCCTGTCAGATCAGGATGGAGCCCTTTGGGTTGGTCATTCAACCTTTTTTTTAGACCAAATGTGAATGCATATATTGCTCATGAGCTCTGCCATTAATTTGATTGATTTTCTGCTATATATATCAACGTAACCGATGTTTCCCTAAGTTAATAGGCTTTATCTTAGGGGAATAATTAAATACGTGCAACCATTTTTCTTACGGGAAAAAGTACGTTTTGTGCGAGCGTTTTCAAAAAGTCACTCGTCCTCCTCCTTTATGCCATTGAGAGGTCAAAAAGAAGAATTTGTATGTGTATTTGTTAAATTTTTCCTAATTTTAAAGAATTCGAATATGGAACGGATATTAATTTCAATTTGTATTTGTATTTGTTTATTAATACGAATAATTAACGAATCATACATGAATATCGAATCGATTTGAGCATACGTTAAATATTAGTCAAATATCACTTCAAAATAATTTTTCTTGCATTTTATATGTTATAAATGCATGCTATGACTTAATATGTGTTTTTAGAATTTAATTTGTAAAAATACATTTTCTTTAAAATTTAATTGATCGATGCAGTTTTAGGTTGTGCATAATATACTAAAGTGAATCAATTTTATGATTAATAAATCTATTTCAAACCTTTTGAAATAAACATGCACTAATTAACATATACATATAAGTAATTATACTTAAAATGTGTGAAATAAGTTGATAATTGTATATATCATAGTCAAACGCCTCTAATTTTATTCTTTGAATCGAATACATAATTATTTGTATTCGTATTTGAAAGATATTTGAACCAAAAATCTAATTTGTATTTGTATTTATATTCTATATTTTCAAATCTAAATCATATTTTTTTAAATCCAAATCACGAATCGAATTAAATATATTCGCTCCCTTTACAATCATTTCTCAATATGATACTTCTGATTTATTACAAATGAGCTTGAAATTTGTATACATAAATGTATATATAGGTTACACTTTGAGTATATAGCTATCTTTTAAAAGTTGTTATAGTGTTATTACTATTGTTATTATTATTAATATTATCACTATTATTAATCGAACATATTTGACTAATATTCGAATCGAATATACTGATATTCTTATTTGTATTTGATAACAATTCCAATCAAATTTAGTATTCTTATTTGTATTTGTATTTGAATTTTTTGAATTCGAATAGTCTTATACGAATTTGAATCACGAATCGAGCAAAAATTATTTGATTCGTTAGGTTTACAACCCTAGTTACATCAATTCTTTCTATAGAAATTATTCCAAACAGGACTAAAACTATGGCAAAAACTCAAAATAGGGCTTACTATGTTTTTCTTTTCAAAATAGGACCATATTAGTCCTATTGGAAACATACCTATTTTTTCATTCCATTCTTACCCTTCCTTTAAATATGAGTAAATTAAATGTTTAATTCATAATAAATTCGAAAAAAATTCAAAAATTCGTAGAAAAATAACTAAAAAATTTATATAATATTTATAAAATAAAAAAATATTTTTTTTAAAAAAATTAATAAAAAATAGTAAAACTCCATAAAAGAAATTAAAAAAATATGGATGCCTTTCCCACCGCCTGTACTACCTCCCTGCACCACCATCTTCGGGCGGTGAAAAATGTCACTTTTCCGAAAAACTGCCATTTTTTTCTGAAAATGCCAAAAACATGACATATTTCTCTTTGAGAATGCCAACATTTCATTGCTTTCTGCCATAAATATGGCATTCGTAATGAACTTGACATTTTTTCCCCTGGTGACTGGAGGTGGTGGTGCAAAGGCGGCAGAGGTGGCGGTGAATTTTATTTTATTTTTTTGAGTTTTTTTTTTAGTTTTTTTTTTATTTTTTTAGTTTTTGAAAATAAATAAATAAATAAATTATTATTATCGAAATATTTTTATTTATTTTTTAGTATTTTTTTACGAATTTTTATTATTTTTTATTTTTTTATTGTGAATTAAAACATTTCAATAGCTATAATTAGTCCTATGAAAACATAGTTTATTTTTGGTCCTATTTGTGCAAAGTGAGTGATTTTTAGTCCTATTTTGATAATTAACCCTTGATAATTAACCCTTGTTTCTAACAGAGTTAGAGGCATTTATTCTATGTAAAGTCAATTCAATGTCCACACAAATTTTCAAATACTAGGCGTCTTAATTTTCAAGTACCACTGTCTTTCTAATTGACTAATTCACAAATCTTTCATGCTTACCCGATACTCATGTGTGGTTCACCACTTACAGCCCACTATTCAAAAAAATTGTTTGCTTCTAATAGCTTTCCTTATAGAAGTAATTTGAGTTTGCATCACATTTTATTGTTCAAATTTAACTTTGCAAATACTACTACCTCCGTTCCATAAATTCTTCCCACTTTGACTTGACACGGAGATTAAAAAAGTGGAATAAAGTGGAAATGTATGGTTGTGGTTGTGTAAGAAAAATGTGAAATGAATGTGAACCACATAAATTGTCCAAAAGTGGTAAGTGTGAACAATTTTTGGGACATCCCAAAGAGGAAAGTGAGAAGAATTTTATGGGATGGAGGGAGTATCTTATAGTAGTACTATAATTGGTCAATTTTTTTTTTACAAGTTACTTTTTGAAATCTTGAAATAGTTAATAATATCACCTTAAATACGCCTTTAATTAATTTCAAATGATCATCAGTGAAATATTTGACATATAAATCTAAGTTTTGACTTGCTAACAATTGTTTCAGCTGAAGAACTTGGAGTGAAAGAACTAGTGCCACCTTATTTGGACCCCAATTTGCAAATCGAAGATCTGAAAACGGGAGTCAGCTTTGCGTCCGGAGCAAGTGGCTATGATCCTCAAACAGCACAACCTGCGGTAATATTTCTTTTTGGGCAAAAACTCCGGTAATAATTAATAATACTTCCGTCAATTAACCAATCAACAATTCTTTTTCTTTAATTTCCTTCATTCGCACACAAGACAATCACCGGACTAGCGACTGCATATGCTATATGAGAAATTTCAATGGAAGTAGGGATTAGTAACAAACTAACAGTGATCGAGAATGTGGTCGATGGACGTAGCTCAACTGGGTAGATTATGGGTGTCACAAAGGGTAAATTTTGGATTCAAATTCTGTCAACCGCAATGAGAGTTTCCTATATAAAAATGCATAGAACTTGTGCTAGAGCATCACTCACTATCTGTCAGATTTTGATTCCAGTTCAATTTACATTCTCCCAATTAAGTGTCACGGTGCCGATGTTGAGAGTCCTTAGAAGCGGGGTGCCATTTTTATATTTGTAATGAGAATGTGAACAAATCCTGGTCCATATTATTGGCCTGTATTGGAATACCGGTAGAATCACAAATTGGGAAGAACAATTAATAAGATATATATATATATATATATATATATATATATATATATATATATATATATATATATATATATATATATATATATATATATATATATATATATATATATATATATATATATATCACGTTTGGTAATATTGAAATTGAATGAGTCATTTACATTGCTGAAATTGATGAAATAATGACTGAGTCAGTTCAATTAAGTGAATTTAATGAGTTGCAGAAAAGTTATTAGGAAAATAGAAATTAGTTCAAATAGGACTAAAACTATGGCAAAAACCTAAAATAGGACTTGACTATGTTTTTATTCCAAAATAGGACCATATGAGTCCTATTGGAAACATACCTATTTTTGCATTCCATTCTTACCCTTCCATTAAATATGAATTAAAAATAGTCAAAAGCCATAACTAAATGTTTAATTCATAATAAATTCAAAACAAATTCAAAAATTCGTAGAAATATAATTAAAAAATTTATAAAATTTTTATAAAATAAAAAATTCAAAAACTTTTTTTTAAAATAATTTTATTTAAAAAAAAAATAAAAAATAGTAAAACTCCGTAAAAAATTTAAAAAAATATGGATGCCTTTCCCACCGCCTGTACTACCTCCCAGCACCACCACCTCTGGCCGATGAAAAAAATGCCATTTTCCCAGAAAAATGCCATTTTTTTCTGAAAATGCCAAAAAAGTGGCATATTTCTCTTTTCGAATGCCAACATTTTCATTTTTTCCTGCCATAAATATGGCATTCGTAATGAACTTGGCATTTTTTTCCCCTGGTGACTGGAGGTGGTGGTGCTGAGGCGGCAAAGGCGGTGGCGATTTTTTTTTGAGTTTTTATTTTTTTTTAATTTTTTTTTAATTTTTTTAATTTTTTGAAAAAAATAATTAAGTAAATTTTTACTATCGAAATGTTTTTCTTAATTTTTTAGTATTTTTTACGAATTTTTATTATTTTTTATTATTTTATTAGGAATTAAAACATTTTAATAGCTATAAGGGTATAATTGTCCAAGGTACACATAATTAGTCATATGCAAACATAGTTCATTTTTTGGTCCTATTTGTGAAAAGTGAATGACTTTTAGTCCTGTTTTGATAATTAACTCTTAGGAAAATTGTCAAACATTTCTATTATCTCACAAAAGACAATTTGGTCAAACATGATTCTCAAACGATTAAGGCTATATTTGACACTACGAACTGGAATCGAAGGCTAATGTCTGAATTAAGAGCTATTTTCTGAAGTAGAGACTATTGTCTGAAGCTGAACTTTGAAGTGATGAATCTGAATTGTCAATCAAATATATATAGTAGCTAGACCCGTTTGGCAAAAAGAGCTGAAAGAATGTCTGGATAATATGAAGTTACATTAACGGGCATATAATTTATTAATAGAACAAAATATTTATTATAATGTTTTGTACATTTTAATTAATATTAAAATTTCAATATATATATATATATATATATGTACGTTCATGTGTTTATATATTATATTAATAAAAAATATTGATTTTTTTCATATTTAATTTCATTTTTTATGATGTATTACATATTAATTTTAGCGGTTAGATAAATATTGTAGGTGAAAAAGTAGATTGATAGAAGAGGTAAGGAAACTACCTATTCGTATGGCCAGATTTTATATTTTAAACCATACTAAACAAAGTTGCCAGTAAGAGAATATATGTACAGAAGGATATTTTAGTACAAACGGTGTATTATATGTTTGGCTGAGTGGAAACGCTATATCTACTAACGTTTTAGTTCAGCCAATCTTTTCTAGCTCCAGCTCACTTAAGCTTTTCATCCAAACAGTGTTACTTTTAAATAAATTAGTTGGATTTATGAAATTTCAGCTCATTTTGAGCTGAAGTGGCATGTCAAACATAGCCTAAAACAATTCAACACAATTTATTAGGTAAACAACAAGTTTACTCGATAACTTATACAGTATGCTACATCATACAAATAAAATTAGTTTAAAGAAGAAATCATATTTGGATAATATGACTATATGAGGTCAAAACACTCCAGAAGAAAAGATATTTGCTACATACTATCTTATGTTCTGTTTTAATCGCAACATGTTGAATTTTACATTATTCACATGCTCTACTTTTTTTTGATCATGTTCTACTTTGACTACATTTTACACTATTATTTTTTGAAAATATTTTTTTTTAAAATATTGTTCAATTGATTTCATTACAAATTTTCAAAATCTGATTTTTAATATTTTTTTTACTAATAGAATTAAGTTATAATTAAGGTCAAAAACGTGCGTTGGCAAATGTGAAATGTTGACCGTTGCAACTAAAAAAGAATGGAAGGAGTATATGCTATCATTTAAATAAAATTAGTTTACAGAAGAAAAGATATTTGGATAATATGAGGTCAAAACACTCAAGTGTGGCCGTCCATTACTCTTCAAAAGCTAAAAACACAGAAGCCTCTTTATTAACAGAGATATTTTTCAGTTTTCCAGAAAATTAGAAAACTGGAAAAAAGAAAACAGAAAACGTGTTTACAAAAAAAATGCTGCAAAATCGGAGAAACGAAAACAGAAAAATGCGTTTACCAAATCATTTTCCAAAGCCAAAAAATGAGATGTGCATCTGTTTTCCTTAATGAATTGGAGAAGTGAATTTTACTAGTTTTCAAAATTTGAAAAACACGGATGCTACAGTCTCGCTCCAGTGAATTTTCATACATATGCCTAGTCATGGATTCGGTCCTGCTCCGATGTCAGTTCTAGTTCGGTCCGTATAACGACCTGACAGTCCTTATCTGGTCTGGTCAACGAACCGGTGGTCCGATCTGGTCATTGACCTGGCGGTCCCAGTCCGGTTCGGTCCTAGTCCGGCGGTCCCTATTTGATCTGATCGATGACCCCACGGTCCCTGCCTGGTCCGATTCACGATTGATGAATATCACATCATTGGGAGTCGGGAGATAATTCACAACCAAAGCAGCTACATACAAGTTTAAGCGAGTGAGATAAAGAAAAGTGTATATTCAGCGAGTGAGATAAGCAGGAGTAGTCTTAAACACAACGTGTGAAGTGATCAATAAAGTGAGGATGATCAAGAGGTATCTATAATTTTTTGTAGGGTGGTGTAAATGAGAAAAATGTTTATAAGAATTTCTAAAAATTAAGTTGTCATTTGCTTAAGAGTGTAGATCTGCCCCTATCACCTCTTAAGTTTTAAAGTGTATCTATACAATAAAAAGCCATGTGATGCAGTTATATCGTTATTTTTTTTAGTATGTGAGGGTGGGTATAACAAATTAAATGGGCTCAGGAACCACAAGAGGTTGGATTTTTCTTATATTTTAAAAATAGTACTTCGCATTTTTGCAATGATCTATGGTTTCAATGTTTCATTATTGACTAATTTCTTGTTTTAATTTAAACAAATCAGTCAGTTATCTCATTAATGAAACAATTAGACTACTTCAAAGAATACTTGGAAAAGCTGAAGAGCACTTTTGGAGAAAATGAGACAAACTTCATAATAGAAAATAGCCTATTTCTGGTGGCCGATGGCAGCAATGACATTTCAACCACCTACTTCACCCTCGGACTTCGTCGATTACAATACAACATTGACGCCTACACAGATTTTATGGTTCAGAGTGCATCCGATTTCATCCAGGTATGCAACAATTATTAGTCACATTTTTTTGTTAATGATAATGTTGGATGATAACGAATTAAAAAACAACATTTTTTTGAAGTCTTAATCATTCATATTTAATTGATGTCGTACACACTTCTAACGACATTAAACAATTCAATATAAGGAATTGTACAAACTAGGAGGTCGAAGGATTGGGGTATTCAGCCAGGTACCAATCGGGTGTGTGCCAGCACAGAGGACAATCGCTGGAGGCAACGGTTGGGATTGTGCTGAGAAATACAATGAAGCAGCTAAGCTTGCCAACTCCAAGTTTTTAGTCGAGATTGATACCCTCTCCAAAACATTACCTGACGTGAAGTTAGTTTTCATCGACATTTACCAACCTCTTTTTGACCTCATCCAAAATCCCGGCCAATATGGTATGATACTATTTCTTTAATCTCCTATGTTCTACTTCTCTCCAAAAGTTAAACATGTTAAATCATTCCATATGCTACATATATTAATATTTTTAGTTGAGATTATACATTTTTATTTAGTATTAGAATGTAAAATTTAGTATCACATTGACAAAAACTAACGTGTCTTTGTGGGGAAATAAGAATAAATCTAGTGCATCAACTTGTGATCTAATGGCTCTAGATATGTTAAAAATGTATTGAATTGAATAAGAAAAACGTAGGCACGTAGCAATTTTGTAAGTAAATAAAAATTCCCTGCCATTGCAAAAAATACATTGTGTGAATTCAATAGTGCACTACATATGATTAGAAGTGTACCGTTCACAATTTGCACGGGAGAAGCTTATTGAAATCATACTCTATATATGTAATATGTAAGTATGTATGCATATAAGTACACACACACATACACACAACACGCCCCCGCACGCACGCATGCACGCGCACACACACGTGTGTGTGTGCGCGCGTGCGCGCGTGGGTGCATGCATGGGTGCGTGTGTGTATTTTGAAGTCCTCAATATATCAAGTGACATTGTAGAATGGTGTATCAAAATTTAATTTAACAAAACAAATACAAATGACTTACTCTCTTCTTATTATACTATTGTTTTTATATTCTGTTTTCGGGGTACATAAAACACTATAACTTATTAATTATATTTATATATGACTACTATATTTTTATTTCTAAATACCCCTATGTATTTAATTTATCAATCATTCTTGTTGTACCCACTCTTATACTCACCTTATACCCACCATGGTTGTGAAAGTTTTTTTTGTCTGTGAATCCGGTTCACATACAAAATATGTCTTATTTTGTTTCCGCAAAATTTCCACAAACAAAAAAACAGTCTTTCACAAACATGATGAGTATAAAGGTGGGTATAAGAGTATGTTCAAAACTAAAAATTTATTTTTTGTTAATTTATATAAAGAGAAAATTATTAATTAAAAGAAGAATTTCATTACATGAAGGTCATGAAAGAAGAAATATACATTATGTTAGTGATCAAATTTAGATAGACATGATTTGTTGGTATATACTCATATATAGGTAAATATTGTATACGCTATTCTGCCTATTTACTATGACATAATGTTTACTATTTATCGCGAATAGTATAAACTTTTAGTTTTCCAATTTATTCAATGCCATATGGAAATTTAATTTTGATATTGAACTTTGTAACTCTGAAATTTGACAATGTATTAAAAATTTGTAATTTTTATGACGTAGAGTTTGAAGATAGATTCCATATAATATGACAATGCAAAGTTAGAAAATCCTCCTAATTCATGCATATAAGATTTTTGTTTTCCTAGGTTTTGAGGAAAGTGAGAGGGGGTGTTGTGGAACAGGTAAGATAGAAGCATCCATTTTATGTAACAAATTCTCGCCAACATGCAAAGAGCACGACAAGTTTGTATTTTGGGATAGTTTTCATCCCACTGAAGCAGGCTACAAAGTTCTCGTAGATCAAGTCCTCCCCAAATCTGTCTCACGTTTCACTTAGATTATGAGTTAATGAGACAACTAATTGCCACTTATACGTTTTGAAGTTTTATCATGGCTCAGTTAGCACTTGGCTGTCCACTCGGAAACATACAACATTTGCTCATTGGATCTTTTTATCACAATAACTTTCTTGGTTGTAATGTAATATCAATTATATATATACAATAACTTTTTTGGTTATAATAGTGGCAATATTACTCTTGTTAAAGATGACATTATTACTTTGGTTAAAGATTACAATATTACTCTTAATAAAAATAGCAATACTACATCAATGTTAATAAAAGTTTATGGCTTCATATACTGAAATTTTGTTGGAGTTTTGGGGTTTGAGTTGATGTTTTGGAATTTTATGTCTTATCCCAATTATAAAACCGCACTCCTTCAGGTACCTGATCTGGAGCATTGTATGTCCCCTGCTAAATTTTGTTTTATAATATTAATATTTTATAACTAGTACGGTACTCGTGCGAGTGCGATGCATGTGATACAAAATATATTTACTGGCATAATAAAAAATGACACCAATTTTGAAGCAAAATAATATATTGGTAGTCCAAATCAAAATAGAATCACACTGGTAAAAATACAACACTAATTAGACATATGTATTTATATACATTTAATAATTAAGGAAATATAAAACAAAAGTAGTTGCACTATGTAAAACGCCTATAGTGAAAAATTATTATTGAATTGAACTACATAGAGACATAGAGTGAGGTTATTGGGTATGTGTACGAATACTTGTTTTTTAAGTTCATAAAATTTAACCTAAGAAAACTAAAGCATATTGAAACTAACAAATCATTTTACATAGAGTATTGTAACGATTCCTCGTACGATGGCTATTTTATTTTTGTGAATATTACTTTTTTGAGTTTTTTTTTCCAAAAATATCAGTGAAATAAATTTTTGATAGAAATATGACAAAACTTAAAATGAACGTACATTCATGATTAATTAAGTTTAAAATTGAACATAATAAGAGTCACTAAAATTACTATGTAATATGGTCATTATATAAAAAGAGTCACATTTTTGCGACTTTTACTTATTGCAGTCATTTTTTCTAGTATTTCACTAAAAACACATATATTGTTTTTTTTATAATATTTTTCTGAATTTGTTCCTATTAATATTTATTGGGCTCTACATTTACAATTTTATACAAACAACCATCGGCCAAACTACATACGTACCAGCCTGATCCATTCGCCCATCTACGTACCAGCTCGATCCAATTCTAAAGATACATATACACGCACACCGTCCAGTTAACTATCGGAATTCTCCAGATTCATCGTACCTCTTCTGTCTAAGACATGAACATTATATGTACATAAAATTTGAAAATAAAAACATGATTATAAATATGAACACTAGAATACAAAATGTAATGTACACGGTAAAATGAAAAAAATAACAAGTTGTACTATATAAATATATTGTACTTTACAATATACTAGGTGGAAATGGAATATAAAACAATAAATTCGAAATTATTTATTGCTATTTTTCTTCCTAAAAACATATTTACGATATAATTTTATGTCAAGCGAATTAACTTATTTCACATAATTACATGTATAAGTGAATACTATTATATTCTTATATTTATTTTTGATATTTATTTGGTTCATAAGAGCAAAAATTAAAATAAACTTGGTGGCTTAAATGTTAAATAAATTGGAATATTAAAGAATGCAATATAGACATGTTATAATAATAATAATAAGGATTTAATCATTTATATATTTAGAGACTTAAAAAACCTGAAACTAAAATAGTGGATGACTCGAAGTTGCTCTTTACATTTTGAAAAAAGATGCCGATTGGGTTTAGATAGTAGGTGGATAATTTTAAATTTAGATGCTTTTAAAATTTAAAGATATAGGACCTCAAGTCCATCCGAAATTTAGATGTTTTTAAAGTTTAAATATATACGACCTCAAGTCCATCCGGGCCAGTTTGGTCACATCAGCTACTTCAATTCAAGAAGAGAGGATAGCACTTGCTCTGTAAAAAACAAAAAACACATGTAGCCTTGGAGAGTTTCCACCCACTGACTTGAACTTCAAGCCCAAGAGCAATTTTAGTTTGAGTTTCCACCCCTGTCTGTCTTAGGTAACAGAAGAAGAATAGAAGATGTTGAAGAAGTGAAGAGGGAGTGCTTTCGTCACTCACATGCAGAATTGGTGATCTTTTTGTCTAAAAAATTACATGAGGGAGTGAGTAATCATCAACAATGACCAGAGTATATTTGCGTCACTCACATGCAGATTGGTGATCTTTAATAATACAGTACGAAAAAAGGGTTGTCACGGATTACGGCCGTGACAAAGTTGTCACGGGCTTTGTCACGGAATATTGGAATTTGTCACGAAAATGTGTTGTCACGGATAGGTCCGTGACAAAATATTGTCACGGATTTGATCCGTGACAAATTTACTCCGGCGACCGGTTTTTTACTCCGGTGAATACTTTTTTTGCTCCCGGGCATTTGTCACGGACAAATCCGTGACAAATCCGTGACAAATTTCAAAAAAACATTGTCACGGATCCACCCGTGACAAAATCCGTGACAACCTTCAATTATTGATTTTCCAGCGGTAACCTTTAATAATACAGTACGAAAAAAGGGTTGTCACGGATTAATCCGTGACAAATCCGTGACAAATTTTTTTATAACCCAACCCCATCGTCCATTACAATTGCAAGAACAACAATTATCAGTTCAAAAATTCGTAGATTCGAGTGATGTAGTATCGGTTTAAAGATTGAATAATGTAATCCGTCAGTTCATCATTTTCCCAGTTTATGCAGATAAGGTATGTCATTTTAACTAATTTCTTTTAATTGTGTAATAAATGAATTATTAGCTTAATTAATTAGTGAGGTTAGTTGTTCATTTATTTAAACTATTAACGTAATTTAGTGAGGTCATGTTAATTTTCATATTATTAACAATATATTATTAAACTATTAACGTAATTTAATTAGTTAAATTTTAATTTAAATTTTAATTAGTTAATTGAAATGAGTTTATATCATCAATGATTAGGCCGGTTTGTTTATTAGCCATTATTGTTATTAATGCATAATTTAGGATGTGTAGTGATTTAAGTATTAGCTAGCTTATTATAGATTAATTAATTAGTGACTTGTAGTGATTTAATTAAGTTAGCTAGCTTATTAGGTTATTATCACCAATTATTGTTTATTAGCAATTATTGTTAATGGGATGCATAATATAGCTAGGATTGAAACTTTATTATTATTTAGTTTAGTGTGAATTATTATTGTGAATTATTAATGAGATAATATTTAACAATAATATTAGTTAAATGTAAATTAATTAACTAAGTTAAAACATTGAGGAAATGGGTTTAGAATTTGAGTTGATAATATTAGTTAGATTTAAATATTAGTTAATTGAAATGGGTTTATAACCAATGATGATGATTAGGTTTAATTTGTTTATTAGTTAATTATTGTTAATGCATAATTTAGGATTTGTAGTGATTTAAGTTAGGATTCAAACTTTATTAGTTAAGTGTGAATTATATATTATTGTGAATTAATGATATTTAACAATATTAGTTAAATGGAAATTAACTAATTAATAAGTTAAATTAGTTAACTTTAGTATTGTGAATAAATGCCATTAACGTAATAACTTTAATTAGTATTATATGTTAGTTAATTATTTAATGTGTACTATTAGATTTTCATAATTTTAGTATTGTGAATAAATGCCATTAACGTAATAATTTAGTGTGTTTGGTGCACAAATTCTAATATTGTGAATTATTTAATAATTAAAACGATTAATGCCATTAACATATTACTATTAGTTAATTAGTAATTTTAATTGAACGTTAGTTAATTTTAGTGAACTTTATATTAGTAAATTATTAATTCCGGCCAGCTTAATGTTTCTAAATAATATTTTAGTGGGTGTTTCTACATGATTGAAAAGTTGGTTAATTCAAATTATTAATGCCACAAATAATGTACTGCTTTTAGTTAATTAATAATATTAATGTACTTATATAATATTTTGATTATAATATATATATACATGCATAATGTATAGACAAAACAGAAGTTGGATGTACCAAAAACATCACGATAACTATGTAATACGCAGTGAATTTTTTAATGGTGTTGAAGATTTTATTAAATTTGCACAAGAACAGAAGAATTATATGATGGCGATAAAATCAGATGTCCATGTACAAAGTGTAAAAATCTTCAATTTAAAGATATCGACCAAGTTGTTACATTTTAATAACTTAAATTTAAGAAATGATATATCAATGTTTTTAATGAAGGCTTCCCATCGGTGGTATTTTTCCCTAGACCAAGCTATTCTCAAAGAATACAATTCTAGGATTTCTGGGTGGTTGAGACCCACTTTTAGGACCGCCCGGTCTACCGGTCGAAAGCAAAGATTCCTTGGCGATGATGTGTGGGAGATGCTTTGCCGCCATTGGGCTACGGATCCCGCATTTTTGCTGAGAAGCGAAAAAGCCAAGGCAAATCGGAACTCGGAAAAAGCCAAGGAAGTTCAATGGCACGGGGGCCCCAAACCCCAAATTCAACATAAAAAGATCTGGTAAACTCTAATTAGTTAAAATTATTTCCATTCCATACCCTTATGTATATATTTTTTTATTAACATTGAAATCCGTGTAGGAAGGATCTGGACCCGTGAAAAAACGGGTCACGCCATTGAAACTCATGGCACATTGTTGGACGAAGAAGGGTGCCATGCCGCCTCCCCGCCTTTCTGAAATTGAAGTAAATAATGAAACTTCAATAATTCAATAAATTTTGAATTTTTTTGATCTCTTATATAATAAATTTTTGAACTTGTAGAAAAAATATGAGGAAGAGCGGGGGAAGAGAGTTGATGAGCTAGGTGATTCTGATGCCGAACTTGATGAAAATCAAGAATATGAGGCCATCTTGGCGGCAACCGGAGTTTACAAGGGCCGGGTGCCGCTTATGGTTCTGAAGGCTTACGGATCCTGGAGAAGTCCAAAGGAGCTAGCTCATCTTCTCATTCGCCATATGATGATTGGGTTACCCGCCTCGAGAAACTATTGGAGAAACGTGAAGCAGAGGCTCGAAGGCGGGATGAAGAAGCAAAGAAGAACGAGAGAAAGGTTGGAAGAGATGGAACGACAAATGCGTATTTTCAACGCCACCTACCGCCCATCCATGCACATACAACACCCCGAGATGACTCCCCAAATTCCCTTCGCGGGCAATATGGGCA